TTGAACATTAGATTTCCTCAAAAGTGGATAGGCAGAAATGGACCTACTAAGTGGCCTCCGAGATCTCCGGACTTAAATCCATGCGATTTCTTTTTGTGGGGTCACATGAAACAACTGGTTTATAATGAACCTATTAATAGTGTTGAACAATTAACCAATAAAGTTAATGCGGTAGCCGAGGAACTACGACAAAATCCAAGACTAATTTCTAATGTTCAAAGTTCTTTGGAAAGACGATTGTGTGTAAATAATAATGGACGGCATTTTGAACAATTATTGTAATAAACTTTATTTTGAATTAATTGGTTTTGCTACGGCAACAGTGCAATTTCTATGGGTAAGTTCAATTTCGATTTATTTTACTTCTTTAAATATGGAAACTAGTAGGTCGGAAAAGGGGACTCTTCCTAAATATTTAAATTTTAGAATTTGAAGTTAAAATTGGTGCCAATCGTTTTTGGTCATTACATACTATTCCCCATTTTAATATGTACGTGTATTTCAATAACAACCTGTATATAGAAGGTATCATTTTCTATATTTAACAAACCACCTCGGGCGAAAATCGCTGTCCTCAGCGGTCGATGACTGTCCGCTCACCGCGACGAAGTGTTCAAAGAAACCAAAGCTTAAGTCAAAATCGTTCGTTGGCCGATCGGTCTAAGGCGCGGGTTTTCGATTGCTAGACCTACCGATCGTGGGTTCTAATTTCCACGGCTGAAAAAAAATTTCAACTTACAATTTTTTTTTTAATAATTAATCGAACTAAAAAGTAAAAAATAAATATGTTTTAAAAAAACTAAAAAACACGTTAAATCGAACTTAAAAGTGAAAAATAAATATAGTTAAAAAAAACTGAAAAACACGCTTTTAGAGCATATCAAACTAAAAAGTTTATAATAATTTTTTTAACACGCTTTCATTCAAATAAGCTTAAAACAATAATAAATGGAAAATACTAGTATTATTGTGAAGAAAGCGTGGGGCGCTTTGCCCATATTTCTCGTACCGCGAGCGCCCGACGCTTTTTTCACAATAATACTAGTATTTTCCATTTATTATTGTTTTAAGCTTATTTGAATAAAAGCGTGTTAAAAAAAAATATTTTTAATTTTTTAGTTTGATATGCTCTAAAAGCGTGTTTTTTAGTTTTTCAAACTATATTTATTTTTTATTTTCATTATTGTTAATCCAATAAATCAAATCTTTTCAGAACTAAGTACTTAGGCAATTGTGTATTGCTTTTTTTCTTTCTTTCATTTAAATGGATATTACTATGCCAAATACCAACTCTGTAAATATTTCGTCTTCAAAAAGACGTAAACTATTTGATATAAGTCAGTTATCTTTGCCAGAAAAGCAAACTATAATAAACTTAAGAGATGAACCTAATTTCAAAATTGTTAGTGTTTTATCCAAAATTGCTATTTCTGTTAATAATCTGCAAACAAAAATAATAAATCATCTTTAGTAAATCTTTAGAAGTATTCGTCTTGGAAAGACGTAGATTAACTGAAAACTATTTTTTAACTCAGTTTACAAAATAAATAAGGGGTACAATATCAAAATAAAAAAAGAAAGCAAAATATAGTAGTACAAAAAGTGAAATATCATAGATTGTATTTATTATTAAGGAGATGTTTATTATGCTATTTGTTTTTCGAAATTATTTTTTTAAAATTATACGAACACTATTCAAAGAACATCACGATTCGGCCAAATACCTAGATGTAAAACTTAAATGGAAAGAGCACATAAAAAAAAAGGCTAAAGAACTTGAACTTAAATTCAAAAAAATGTATTGGCTCCTAGGAAGAAAATCCAAATTGACAGTGCACAACAAACTGCTGATTTATAAACAAATCCTAAAACCAATCTGGATTTATGGCTATGGGGATGTGCCAGCAAGAGTAATATCAACATGATTCATGTTTTCCAAAATAAAGTCCTAAGATGTATTGTTGATGCACCTTGGTTCTACCGAAACGATTATCTTAAGCCATTTGAGCTAGTGCAGTGAACGTTAATGTTAGTGCTAGTGTAAAACAGTGTAATAAATCTTCACGCCAACTTGTGATGCTTTCCTATAGAAACAATTAAGACAGCCCAATGGGGACTTCTTAGATAAGTAATTAGTTTGTAAGATTTTTAGATTAAAATTGTAGGTTAGTCAGTAATGACTAGTAACAATACTCCAAAAAAAAAAGAACATAAGGTTTGTAATGATTAAAACTAGCTACTCCATTATAAATGAATCTGTTTTTTCTCTGGAATGGTTAAATCTGAACATGTAATTATGTAGATTGTAAGTACTGAATTTCGGAAAATTTTTCATTCTTAATTGAAAAATTAGGAATTATGGATATTTCAAAATATGATGTTATAATTATAGTGTTTATAAAAGAATGTTTTTTTGCCTACCGGACCAATCTTCTAATTTCCCAATACCAACTTTCGCTGTTTTTTTCTGGTACACTAACGAAAAATGATTAATGTGTACACCTCGCGTTTCCCCGAACAATTATCACATCAACTTACTAAAATTAATCGGAAATATGCAAAACGCGCAAGCAAGGCGCATTTATGTAAATATAATATTTATTCAATAAAACATCAACTAAATATTTCATTTCAATAATTATATTTTTTATCTACAACATCGTGATCCAAAATGTTAATAAAGCGTAAACAGATTGTCAGTAAATAGAATTAGAGTCACGTGAGCTCCCAAACAGGAAATACATGAATCGGCACACGACTATATCAAAACAAAAATATGGTCTAAAAGAAAAACAAGTAAAAGTTGGAAAGGCTTTTGGTAGGTAGAGAGGGGGTAAACGTCAAAGAGCGTCGGACGGCTTCAAGAATTCCGCAGTAATGTTTACCTGCCAGTGTCGTTTCATAGAAAAAGTAATTTTAAATTGTTACCGGCGGAACCGGACAATCGCATATATTTATGGACTATAAATAATTATTAAACATGTATTATAATATTTAAATCATAATTTTACAAAATTTCAACAGCTATTTAATATTTATTGAACTATTTACTCGAAATTGTTATTATCATCTATAAAATCATTTTTTTACGCCAATGTATCGCATCCACTTCGGTTAGATCCGTCGGAAACCTGTCAATTTATGTGTATAAAGTGGGAGAAGTGGCAAAAGCCTTTCCAACTTCTACTTGCGCTATACCTCCTCTTATTCTTTAACCGCTTGTAAATATCATTGAATTTATATCTTTGCTCATCTGAACTCTGGCCTTTTTTCTATTTTTTTTTCTACTTTTACCAGTCATGGGGAATGGATGACTATGGTGTCGTCTATTCTTATCTGGTCTCTCTCTCCTTTTTCTTCTACTTCTTTTATTTCACAACTGTTTCTTCTAAATAGTAGGTATATTAAGTGTTAGTTATTTGAACTTTTCATAATCGCCACTTTATCAACGATATTCATACGAAGACGATATTCGTCATTGGGTTCGGTTTTCCACAGTCCATTGTCAGTTTTAACTACTATTTTTACAAATACCCTGAAAGTAGTCGTGTTCACAGTTATCTCAGATCTCTTGACATTTTCCAAGGGTTCTTGATTTCTTCTTGGCTTTTGTTAGTGTGACGGTTCCGTCTTTTTTCTACACTCTGGATCTTTCTTCAGTTAGAAGATCGATTGATATAAAAGAGGTTATGCGATAGAAATCATTAGGATCATTAGAATCTAAATGAAAGTCGCAGTGGCGAGAGGAGGCGTAAATACTAGCAACTACATACTTGTTCAGCCTTTGTTGTAAATTTGTAATTCACTGTTAAACCTAGAAGACTAACAAGGTAAATTCCTAGGCAACTTAGTGGCTTTAAACCATCTTAATATAGAAGGTAAGGGAATCCTACCAATTAAAATATTGGAGAAGTGGTTAGAAATAAATTATGACACAGGATACGTAAATATTCTTAATGAATTAGTCAATTGGTACAGTTATTCTAGACATCCTGATGTAGGAGAAAAATGAAGAAGCCGTTAGGCTTGGCGAAAGGACACCAAGAAACTCTTTTACAGTGTCTAGGCAACTAACTGGGATTATCTTATCTTTATCTTATAACCAGCTTATAAGCTTAATCTGGATTAGATTTACTCCAGAACATTGTAGTCATTTGTGTCTGTTGTACTTCCCTGTTTTTCTCGTATTCAGCTACTCTGCCTTTGTTTAGTTTTATTAGGACCGAAAAGACGTGGTATGAGTTTTCTTCCTCTCCATGCATATTTTACCCATAGGGGGATCATTGTGTAATCCAAAGTTGTTTCAGCAAGTGTCCTCTTTGCTGTTGCCATTTAGTTTGGTGTTTAGTAGTTATCCACCTCTTTCACTGCCTGTGGAACAGAGGTTTTGGTAGGAATCCCAAACACAGTTTGGGGTCCTGTAAATGGTAGTTATCATCTCATCTCTTCAGCCTTTTCATTTCCTTCAATACTATTATATACTGATATGCACTAGTTTTACTGCTAGATCAAGTATTCCAAGACAATTCAAGTATTTCAAGACAGTTTAAGCATTCCAAGACAGTTCAAGAACATAATTAACTTGATTATTTTTAAATCAAAAGCCTTTAAGGCTGGTTGGCTGCCTAAGAGAATTAGGATTCTTTTTTACCAACATATATAAAATTGGTTTTTTTTAGCCTAATTATGAATATCTATATCTATTTTGCCCCTGTTTATTACAATTTTTTTTTTATTCTTTCGGAACTTTTTTATTTATTTTTTGACTATGATGTTTTTCCAGCTTTTATATACCAGTTTTATCTCTTTCTTGCATAGATTTTTCGGATCCGTATATTTTGTCCATGCTTGTTTCTTTCCTCTTAATTTCCTATTCCTATTTTCTAAATTAATATCTCTTCTTCATTTTATTGCAAAACAAAACAAACTATTATTAAAATTATGTATTGAAAATTATTTTTAAATTTAATTCTATTTTATTTTTTTGTTTTACCTTTTAGATCCGGAAAATATAGAAGCCATGGACCTGCAAAGAAAATTAGAAATGTTAAATAATAGTATGGACCAAGAAGGAAGAGTAGACAATTTTCGTAGGCAGATGATCTATCTTGGACACTGTAAGTGACTATTATTGCTTTCTACTATTCTACCATTTCACTCTAATTTGCACAACCGCTATATTTCCTGTGTACAAATCTATCCAAAAATGTTTGTTTAAATTCTGTTGCTTTTACACTACTGTCTTCTAATAAATTATTAACAATAAAAAAAAAGAACCAAAAATAATTAAAATTAGTTGTTGGTATTGTAATTGGGTGTTTTTAAACATTTTTTCACCTACAAACAAATGTTATTCAACCTTCAAGAAAAAACATATACGAGTATACATATATTCGCAACGTAATACTCAGATTTACAGATGTGGTCCTTTACGTTACAAGGTGAAAAGTTTGATTTTCTAAAAAAAAAACGTGTTTTGTCCGTGTGTCATAAATTATTTTTTGAGATAAGGGAATGTGCTTATATATTACATTTTTTTAACTAATGAAGTATCGCGTAACAGTCTTTTATTCCGCTAGAGGGCGCTAAAAACAAAGCAAAGCAACTAAAGTTTAGGATACGATAAAAAATATCGCTTACCAAATATGGGTTGTATAGAATCCATTTTGTAACAATGAAATGTATGGGACCATTACTATTTATGCTATTCATATGTGATTTTATTGTTTATGCAGATCAGTATCGTACTTTAAATACTTTGAATGAGTGCCTAATCTTACAAAGTTTAACATTAATAAAATGGATAATTGGATAAAAAAAGAAACAAAAATGAAATCTCATTGTTATATATCAATATTTCGCAAATGATGTAAATTTTGGAATTACATTTACATTCAATGAATATCTAGCAATATAATTTTACTTTTTCTACATATTAAGACATTATTATACCGCTACTTTCGGTCTATATAAAAAAAATAAAATTATAGATATATGAGTCAGGGTAGCCGTTTTCCTTGTAAACAGTTGGTAACAAGTTTGACCTCGACAATAGCGCGCTAAGCGCGATATGATAAACTATAATCCAGTACAGTCGGTAAAGTAGAACACTACTGAGTAAAGCGATTTAAAAAATGGCGGACTTCAAAATTTATAAAATGTGTAACAATTTCAAGTAACATTTTCCTATTTTACAGCTTTTACTTACAATAATTAAAACTAATGAACTCTTATTGTAAGTAAATGCTGGAAACGGAAAATTTCACTTGTTTTAAATAAAAAAAAAAAAAAAAGTAATAAGTTATTTTATTTATAGAATAGGTAACTATGTCATTACATTATATATTCAAAAGCATATTCACAATACAAAAGATAACAATATGACAATTATTTTATTATTAGCAAAAACAGGGTACAAATTTTAAAAAACAATTATAATTTGAAAAAAATTAAAAAGAACACAGAACAGTCATATCTAAAAATACAATTATTCTTTTAAAAATCCCTAGTATTGAATTATTATTACACAAAATATAGGTAATTTTTCACAGAGAACATAATATAATTAATATTGTTATGTGAGCCATTTCATTATTCAGTCATGCTCTAACCCTACAAGTCCCTCTCTTTCTTATTTGGCCTTTGAGGCTCAACTTGTCCGATTATTATACATAATTAAACCCCTTAAGACCAAACCTATGGGACGACTATGGTGGAGACACTTTCGCGAACATTCCAGAGTCAACGAGATACTATTTCTAGAACGTGATAACGTTTCTGGTACATACTGGCAATTTTGGTGGGGGAGCATTCTAGACCACCAATTTGTATATAAATTGGTGGAGGAGAGCCATCAGAATCAGTTGTTATATGGACAGTGAAGATAATTTGTAATTAGTAGATAGACAGTGGTGAATATAAATAGTGATCAGTCTAAAGACATTCGAAGTATATATAAATTAGAATAGTTGTGTTATAAAATAAATAAGTGTTTAAATAAATTATTAATAAATAAACTGTTGTTTTAAAGTAAACAAACATCACAATATTATAATTAATTTAAAATAAAAACGTTATACCTACATTTTGATCTTAATTTTATCTACTAAGCCAATCAATTTTCCCTAATCAATTCAATTTTATTTGTTATATTGTTTTATATTTTGCATTATATATGTAAAATTAAAAGATTGTTTTATGTCTGATTTACAAAAACTATAAATTATTTATTCTAAATCTCTATCAAAGTATATCATGCAACTAAATTTTAATGAATGTTCATGTAACCCACTTAGTCAAGGATTTTTTTTCTGGCTCCTTTATCCATTAATGTTCTCAAGCTCTACTGAGTTGCCTAAACATATACGAAGACCAGTTGTTTTAAAATTTTATTGGTTAGACAACTCTGGCACTGTACCACTCTTTTATCCTTTTACCCATATATCTATCTATTTCAGTCGAGCTTAGTTGCAATGCCCATTGCAAAAGTCTCCATACCCAGGGATATCTAAAACAAAACGAAACAAAATAACAAAGGCGCTGTTTATCTTAAAATTAACATAAGTTTACATTGTTTTTTAAATGCTTAGAAATAACTTTAGTTTCTTATAATAAAAGGTACACAAATTTTCAACAATTTCGAAAACAGACATCTGATTTATGCTCTTGGCACGCGAACCATGGAAAATTAACATGTTCGTAAAATATAAAATTAGTTTTTAACAGTGCATTCTATATGTCCATATTTGGGTAGTATTTGATAAATATATTTATGAATAGTACCAAAAAAATTGAACAATTTCTTTTTGAGCATAAATCAAATGTTTTTTTATCATATTCTTTTAAATGTGTAAACCTTTGATGAGGTTCTACAATACCTGCTCGTAAATTGCCTGTACACACTTCCCATTTCTTACACGAGGTTTCTCTATTAAAGGTTCCTTGACACATTCAATTTTATCATTAAAAAATTCTAGCTTTCTTTTAGCTGAAGTTATATTTGAAAAAGATGGTTTAATCAAAGCATCACTAATTACATTTATTTTTGCAAGTAAATTTGATGAAGGCATTCTTAGAACCTCAGTATATTTTTACAGCTATAAATTTCTTAAATCTAAAATAATTAATTACATTTTACTCACCCACATTTTCTAGAAACATATCCGTCATTTTTTAGTGCAACATAACCTAATTTATTATCAAAGCCAGATTTAATATTCAAATTTAGCTTTAACTTTATATATTTATAACAATTATCCCTGTATTTGATCATATATTGTATTAAAGGGATATTTAAGAGATTGTATTAGTAAAGTTATTGATTTCTTTAATATTTATTCATTTTTTAATTATTATATGGGTGTAAAAACGGCTTTATATTTAGTGATCGCAGCGCGTGAAGCGCGATATGATAAACTACAAACAAGTAAACAATTCCCGCGTATTATTCAAACCTTCTGCATTAGTTTTTCTATGATTAGATGAGTTATCACTCAAAGTAAATTAAAATTTTCTTTTTTCAAAATATTTTAAATTCTGCAACACCTCCTTACTTATATAATAAAATATCTTTTCGATGTGATGTACATAATATAAATATAAGGTTTAAATCCAAACTCACACCACCACTTCACAAAACTCATCTATTTCAGGGATCTTTCACTTATTACGTATCTTGGCTTCTTAATAGGTTACCCATGCATTATCTCAGTTTAAACAATATTAGGTTAAAAAATTATGTAAAACGAGATTTAATGAATGGTACACTCTTCGTTGTTAAATAATTAAAAATTTTTAAGTATTGGGTTTTGGATGTTGGCTGTTTCTGGTATATAATAGAATATTCATTTTACGGTTAATATTATAATAATATATTATTATAATAGGTTACCCTTCTTACGGTTTATTAATATTATTTACTTTTTGGTATTTTTACTTTTTTTAAAATATTCTAGTTAGTTTTCGTTTTAACGGTTGAGTGGAAGAACAGGTTCTAGTATTGCTCCGGCATAATAGAAACTGAACTCTGCCTTTTGGCTATAATTTTATTTTGTAAAAAATTATAAAAAAAATGTATAATTTGAGCCAATAAAAACGTTATTATTATTATTATTATTATTATTATTATTATTATTATTATTATTATTATTATTATTATTATTATTATTATTATTATTATTATTATTATTATTATTATTATTATTATTAATATTATTATTATTATTATTATTATTATTATTATTATTATTATTATTATTATTATTATTATTATTATTATTATTATTATTATTATTATTAGATATAAAAATCAAAAATGTTACCATAAACGAATTAAAAAAAGAGTAATAAACACTTTTTTAAAAAAACTTCATAAGGGGCGTTTATTAATATTACATTCTGATCAAAAGTTTGTCAATGGTAATTTTGTTCTAACCTAACTTTACTAAGGTTGAAATCTTAAGAGGAAACCGGAGCTCCCGTGATAAACAAAATTCACCTCTACCTGCCTTACCCTCTACGTCTCGTTCCGCGTTGACAGCCCAAATGCGAATTTATTTCCTCTGTAATAATAGACGTATGTTATTGCAGTTACAAATAGGATAAGTAAGAGAACTAAACCCAACGTATGTCTGTAGCTTGCGTCGCTTGGCTGAGTGCATATTCATAGGCGCAACATATTTTCTTGCCGTGTAACTATCTATTAAAATATTTTTGTTAAACCAAAAAAATCATATTGTATTTTTGTATTATATATATTATATTTCTTAAGTACCTACTACTACAAAATAGTACTTACCCTTTTAGGGAGAACAAATACTCATTAAGGGATTAATTGATTTTTTTTTAATCAGAAAAGAAATAAATATCGGTATGTTATGTTAGGTTCATATTGGACCTAAGATATTCTGAAATAATCAAAATTAAACAAAAAAGTGAACTAAAATCCACTGCCTACTATATAACGATATATAATAATGAGCAGTACCTTTCTCTCTGCGTTTTTCAAGAACTTGAGACCTTCCAGCAATAAAAGTTTATTTTCTTTCTTATTTTTTTTTTATTTATAGCTTATAACTTATACATACCAAAGCCAAAAAATATATATACCTACTTGTAC